CAGTGGGTTGCAGACTGATAATTGGTGGACAAGACGGCAATGTTGTCGCACAGTGGGTTATGGAGATTCATCCATCGTCATTCAAGCTTGCCACAGCGTTTGTTGACATTTTTTCATATCAGACATTACATGAGGATTGTTGTTGCAATCTGGCAACATGAAGTCCTTCTTCGAATAATCAATGCCTCTAACAGTGTAAACGTAAATCCAATCTCCAAAGATTGATAACTCTCCGCCCCCGCCCCTCCCATCGGAAAATACACTCTTCCTGCGGTGGACGCGCGGGTCACTTAAAAGGCAGAACAACTGAGGCCGGACACCCAAACTAAAAAACGCGTCCTTNGGGGGGGGGGGGGGGGGGGGGGGCGCGGAACGCCGGTTTTTCAATATGTTGTATAGATGAGTAAGATCTGTTATGTGCGTCAATATGAAAGCTGTGCCCCATTTTCTTATACATGGCGTGGCGCATTATCCAATATTTCCGATATTTGGCTCATCGGTACGATATTTCTCGAAAATTTGGCAACAGAAGGAAAAGTTTTGCGAGAATTTTTAATTTTTTTTTACGTTTTTTCCCTCAACGCACATAGTTTTCAGTTTAAAATAAGTTTTACAGTAGAATTGTGGGTAAAATTGAAAAAAAAAACCTAAATACGAGCCAAAAATGGCAACCATGGACCGCGAAGCCCCTAAAAATTCATCGGGGGCCTTTTCAAAGGCCAGAAACGGAAAGTACGCAAAAAAATACATAGAAATGACCTCGTAAAGCTTAAGGGAGGGAGTGTGCAGACGACTCCCGGCGGCGAGCGGCGCCTGGATTCCAGGCGGCGCGCGCGGAGTGTAAACTGAGATTGCTCATATCTCTGCTACCAATCGTTTCCCTGGAAGTTATAATACATCAAAAGAAATGGAAAAGTAAGAAAAATTATAAGAACAGCGTTTTGTTCGAATCGAGAGTCCGGCATTTGACGATGTACTAGGGTTGAAAAAAAATTGACCCTTCTGAAAGTGTGAAAAATGGCATCATTGCAATCTTAAATTACCTAAACGATCAAATTAAATACATATTTCGAAAGAACGCAATTTTTGGAGAATTTTGGCGCAGACCGCACCTCAATATCTCTTTCCGTTCAAGAGATATGGAACTTAACAGTTTTCAACTCGGCATCGCCGCTACGCGGAAAGAAATTCATTTCAGACCATGACATTTTGGGGAAAGGCGTTTCCTATAATGAAGAATGACATACTGAAAATTGGTCAAAATCCATGGGGGGAGGGGGATTTTTGTCGATTTTGCATAAGCCCCTTTTCTCTGAAAGTGCTTCTTTTGGATGCTATAGTCCTTCAAAGTTAAGGATTTTTCCCAAAATTTACCCTTAACTCAGGGGCCAAACGTCAAATGCCAGTGAAAATTGACTTCCAGTGGTAACTTTTAGCGTTCTTTTTATTTTTTTAGATTTCAAATGCCTACTATTTTGCGGGAGGACGGTAGACAACATCATTCAAAATGGCTGTATCTTTTGAGTTGATGAAAATTCCGACTGCACCACATGAAAGCCTGCAAAATTTTAATAACATTAAGTAAGCGGTACGTTTTTCCAAAAACTCATGAAGAAGCTCTTATGTACTTTCAGGGTAAAAAATTATCGTCCTCCGAAAGCTCCTGAAAGTTAAGAAACCAATCACCCTTGCTGCTAACTACAAATGATTACCTCGGTTCTGCAAACGATCAGCGTATTGCACCTGGCCTGCTCAGAGCCCTGTTGAGACGCCAATGGACTATTTTGTCTGGGGTTGTTTTAAGAAACAATAAATTTAAGTGGAGCAAGTCCCGGATCTCACAAAAAGATCATGACAGCATTTCAAGTAATCACGCCACAACAATGTCGAGCCGCTACCAGCCAAATAATTATGAGCACTGATTGCATTCAAGCAGAAGGGTGGCATTTTTGAAATAAGGCCTGACTCAGACCGTTTTGGTTTTTTCCCCATTCGATGGGTTTTGTTCTTCAGTTTGAAAACGTGTCGTAAATATTTTTCATAAAGTCGTTAATTCTTTGATGCTTGCAAATAGTTTCCATATTAATCAATCAATTTTCTTCCTCACTAGTAAAGTTGTTACTAATTTTGATTGATAAAATTTTAATTGATTCGAGCACTTAAATTGAAAAAAAAAAATTAATAAATTGCCTAGCACTGTTTTCCTTAAAAATGCAAAAATTAACAATTGTACTGCTTAATTTTTTGTAACATACAAGGGGGATTAAAAGTGCCCGAAGAGGTAGGCAATCCTAGTGCATGTGCAAGGCTGATTGGTTGCCCACCTTACAGGCACTTTCGGAGGATGATCTTTTTTTTAACCTACAATTAAGAGCTTTTCCATCAGTTTTTTTTCAAACACACCTCTTACCTTATGCAATTGAATTTTCGCAGGCTTTCACGTAGTGCAGTTAAAAAATTTTATCGGCTCAAAGATACAGCCATTTTTGATATACAGATGTTGCCTACCGTCTTTCTACAAAATCGAAGGCATTTAAAACCCCAAAAATTAAAAGTACGCTAAAAGTTACCCCTTGACCTCAAATTACATTAACATTCGACGTTTGGCGCCGGAATTATGAGCAAAAATCAGGGAAAAATCCTCAACTTTGATTGGTTAGAGCGTCGAAAAAAAGCATTCTCAGAATTTTTTTTTAGAAAAAGTCTTATTTTTATCCAAAAAAATCGATTCCTGTAGTTTGGCATATTAACTCTGGGACACCTGGTATACACTGGGTCTTTTTTTTTTTTTTTAAAAAAAAAGGGAAGTATACTAAATCTTGCTAGCTCTTGTTTTTACCCCATTTCTGAAACTCATATTTTTCAGCCCTAGAAATCAGGGCAATAAGGGCATATCTCCAGCTTGGTTGGCCCTTTTGAGTGAGTTGAGTATAATGGGCAAATTCTCTCTTCAAAAAAAATTAACACCAACTAAGTAGAGTGCCAAATTTCAGCTTAAAATCATTAAATCTGAAAAAAGTATGAGGCTTCTTCAAAGGCAAGACATTCTCGTTTTTGGAGTGTGTAGAGAGCATACATACAAAAGGCACTATAACTTTAAGAATTTCTTTCTCAAGAAGTATTGGACATATGAAGCTAAAAATTTAGATTTTATCTTACGTTGACTTATGGATTAAGAAAAAAAAATATGGAGTTCCGATTTGAGTGGTTACATGGTTTGTTGAGTTGGCATGGGATGACCCTGTAGTTTCTTTTAATCATGTACGTTTTTCATCAGAACAAACCCAATCTAAATCCGGGGAAATGAAGGAAGATTTTAAAAATACTAAGAAGAAGGTTGGCAGATTTTTCTCTGGCACTAGTCAATGTTGACAAAGGAGAGGCGGGGAGAGATCCTGCAAGGGTGCAATGGGAACAATCGTATGAACTGGTTCCAGGACAAACAAGCTCTTGCCGAAAGTAGACGACACTGCATTTTCTGTGCACCCAGAAATTACCCTCATTTTCCTCGTTCCAATCTAATTGTGCAAATCTGCCACTTGGCAAGGCAAGACTTACAGCTATACACTACATGTTTTTTCTTCAAAATTTCATGAAAAAAACAAATCATGAAATGGGAAGTCTTGAAATCGGACCAGATGTTTGTTAATTTCTCATATAGAGGTTGATTTCTTGACTATCTGCTCAGCGAATCGTTTTCTAGGTAAGATTTTAAAGAGAAGACATGTGACTTTTTTTCTAGTTCAGACCTTATCTTGTGGTTTATTGTAGATTTACACATTTTCACTGCACAAAAAAGTGATCTATGATTGGACCTATTTATGCTATGAAGGAATAATGTCCAAATAAATAAAATCGTAGAGAACTAGAGGTATCGTCAGCTAAGTTGGAATTTTTTCTGGAATCTGATAACTATCTAGGATTGACCGCGGCCTGACTGCAAGTGTAGTCAGTCCTCAACCGCTATTTTGGACCACATTGCAGTTCTTTGGACAGCGTAAATGTTATGGAAATGGAATCTAAACAAGTGCCAACTTAGCTGAAAACACCTCTAATAGCACACACACCCATGCAGATACTTTCCTTGGATTTAACTGGTTCTCACATACCTACTTCCTTTTGTCATAAATACACCCAATGGGTCAGTTGCATACAAGAGATACAACCATTTAAATTGACTTCTTACAAGTAAAATTGCACGAAAATCACATTGGACACATAACAAAAATCTGAAATCCATTTCTTGAGTGTGAAATCTGCGTAGTTTTTTAAGTGCTTATTCACATTTATCGCGTTTGCGGGCAGTTCTTCTAAGTGACCGGCGGTCAGTTTCACTCTGAGAGACTTGAGAAAACCTCGCCTAAATAAACAAAGAATCTGACAAGCTATTTGAAACTTTCCTTCATAAAGAATTCAAGTGATTTAAAGCTTCTTATTTGAGCATAAAAAAGAAAAGAAGGAAACCAACACTTGAGAACCAATGAAATCATACAGCAGAAAAAGAGAGAAATTGTTTGTTTGATCAGGTTTGGTTGTCTTGCTCCTCTGTCTGTGTGAACCTGGCTACCGGCAGTTTACTCATTAAAGAATAGCTTTCATACTTTTGATGTGCCCCCAGGATTTTGTTGTGATTTCACCCATATAGAGTGTATTTACTAAGCTGTATCTCTTGCATACAATAGATCCATTTCGATTTACAAGAGGACGAGTGAAAACAGAGATTGGGGAGGTAAACCTTGGAAGTTTTCCTTTACATGCATCTACGGACAACACGTTCATTCCAAAGTTACCGAGGGTGGCTTGTCTATAAGCTCACAATCAGTGCACAATTCTTGGCTTCTTCTCTTACTCAAAACTCAGTTCAAAATGGTACACGAGACATTTTTGAAAGAGGAAATAGAAACCCACTTCCATTTGCTTTAAGCAATCATCATTGTAAAAAGATCCATTAACAACAGTTGGATTATATTTTAAAAATTCTATAATTGAAAAAAAATTACCTGTCCAGTAAGATACAAAAGTAAGTTTCTCGGACAATACTAACAGATTCTGCAACCATAACTTTACTGACGAGGACACCTGATTGTGAAGTTTGTTTGGTGATCAAACGATGACCAAGCATATTGTTGATGATTTCAGGAACAGTATTAACACTGGAAAACGATATTAGTAGGATCATCAATTTTTAAATTTTTAGTGCACATACAGATAATTGTGAATGCTAAAAGAAGGCTCTAGAGCAAAGGAAACTGACTTTCAAAACATTTTGTTTCATACATAGTCTGTATAAAATAGAAGAAAGGAGGATTTGAAGTTTCATGGCGGATAACGGTTAATCTGAGTATCTACGAAAGTGGTCCCTACCAGATCTGAAAATGCCGAAAATTTAAAAGCTTCTTTCCACTCTTTTGAGATCTCACCCACTCAACCACACTTTGTCCGGTCAAGATATGATTTATGAAAACAAGTTTTAGGCTTAATCAGATTAAGATGCATTTGTGGTGATCAGGGAAATACTCTCAGGAGTTTTCGTAGCATTTCAGGCCAGAGCAAGAGGTTTTTTTTTAAAAGTATTTATTAAGTTATTTGCATATTTAACAGACATATTGAAACAGGGTACAAAAGGATGTCATAACATAGTTTAAAAAATCGAAACTCAATAGGGCCCCAGGACCGCCTGATGGCATTACTTCAGGGGAAGTTGGCTGTGTATCATAAACTTTTGTACATACATTAATACGTTCGTGTCTAATTTCTAGAATTTCCTTAATGTATCTGTACAAGATGGTCCAATTTAGCCTATTTGTGATCATTCATTACTTTATTGACATACTATTACATTATTTTTTATCGATTTTGTCCTTTATTTTTTCGTCTATTTTATCCTTGTGTCTTTAACTATATTACTTTTGGAAGGCTTCATTACCGGGGTGGGGGGGCGTTGAAACTATCCAATTCAGGCATTCTTGTTTTGACTTAGCGTTAATGTTTTCACGATCCAGTTGCAAAAAGTGCAAGGGGTCAGCTAGAAAGCGTTTTTTCCATAGCTATTGCGTAAACTGAAGCCAACCATTCGCTTTCCTAATTTAAGCCATAAGTTAGTCATGTAGGAGGTCTCAGTCCTTGCAATCATATTGTTTCATTAATAAAAACCTATCTGTCTCTAATCCAAAATGATTCGGTTATTCTCATTATTACTAATATCCCAAATAATTCATATCCAATACCCTGAAAGTTTCAGCAAGGCACACGAAAGTGACTTTGTGGCCCTTACAATGGGTCTGTTGCAAACTTTTGCTAGAGCAAAACTAAGAGTTGTTTCTTATAGATAATGCCTCAAAAATCACGATGAGCGCATTGGCAAAGTCTGAAATGCACTCATAACTTCACAA